GGAGTTTGAGACCAGCCTGGCCAACATGGTGAAACCCCCGTCTTTAAAAAAATAAATAAATAAAAATAAATGGAATACTCATGTAATAATCCGCAATCTCTGTCCACAACCTTCATTGCTCCAATGGCAGTTTTGGGGCAAGAGCTATTAGGATCCCGTCTTCGTGGAGGATTTGGAGGCTCAGAGCAGTCGACCAAGTTGCCAGAGACACAGCACGTGCGACCTCAGGGAGGCTGGAAGGAGAGAAAGCCCCAGTCCACAAGACTTCCAGCCTCCAGCATCAGTTTACCCTCCAGTCCCCAAGCCCTCAGGGACAGGGGCAGAATGGAGCAGCAGGCGGGCATGGATTCACCTGCTAAGTGGGGCAAGGTTATGGGAATGAAATAACCTCCGGGGCCTGGAGCCTGTCCTGGTCTCCCTGTCATCCTCCCCAGGACAAGCAGGGCCGGAGCTTTAGAATGGAACCTGGAAGGCGTGCCCACCTGTGTCCTTCAGCTGGGGGAACAGGCCACAGGAGGGAGCACCGGCTCTGGGGGCAGCTGGCATGTGAAGGGTGAGATTAGGAATATCTGGGTGTAACTGTGTTCCAAGCTGATGTCACAAGTGCAAAGGGGAGTCGGTTCGGTGGCTCATGCTGTAATCCCAGCACTTTGGGAGGTTAAGGCAGGCAGATCACCTGAGGTCAGGAGTTTGAGACCGGCCTGGCCAACATGGTGAAAACCCATCTCTAGTAACAATACAAACGTTATCCGGGGGTGGTGGCGCGCAACTGTAATCCCAGCTACTCAGGAGGCTGAGGCAGATCAATCGCTTGAACCCCAGAGGCAGAGGTTGCAGTGAACTGAGATCTCGCCACTGCACTCCAGCCTGGATGTCAGAGCGAGACACCATCTCAAAAAATAAAAAGTGCAGCGGGAGGCCAGTTTGCTGCCTAAGGTCTGTGATCCCAGCACTTGGGGAGGCTGAAGCAGGAGGATCGCTTGAGCCCAGGATTTCCAAACCAGACTGGGCAACTGAGATAGTGAGATCCAGTCTCTACCAACTGGGGGGCAGGGAGAAAAAAGGGACAGGCTTGGTGGCTCAAGCCTGTAATCCCAGCACTTTGGGAGGCCGAGGCAGGTGGATCATGAGGTCAGGAGATGAAAACCAGCCTGGCCAACATGGTGAAACCCCGTCTCTACTAAAAATACCAAAAATTAGCTGGGTGTGGTGGTGCGCGCCTGTAGTCCCAGCTACTTGGGAGGCCGAGGCAGGAGAATTACTTGAACCCGGGAGGTGGAAGTTGCAGTGAATGGAGATCCCGCCACTGCACTCCAGCCTGGGTGACAGAGCAAGACTCCCTTTCAAAAACAAACAAAAAGTTAGCCAGGGATGGTGGTGCACACCTGTGGTCCCAGGGACTTGGGGGGCTGAGGCGGGAGGATCACTTGAGCCCAGGAGGTTGAGGCTGCAGTGGGTTGAGATCATGCCACTGCACTCCAGCCTGGGTGACAGAGCAGGACCCTGTCTCTAAACGAAACAAGTGTGAAGGCCCTGAGGCAGGAACAAGTGTGAACAGAGGAGCAATTTGAGCAGAGTGGGGCTAGGGACGACCACACTGGGGCTTGGGAGGCCTCGGCTCAAGCTGTCATCAGTTTCCCCATCAGCCCAGAATGAGGACTGGACCTCACTCTGGAAGCGCCTGGCAGCCTCCTTACGGCACATTCCAGACGCTGCTGCCCACGCCAGCCTAGGCGCGCTGATGCCACTGGCTGGGAATGTTTTCAACAGATAGCAGCATCCTCCCTCACCCGCCTCAGTCCACCCTGGGGTGCCCCAGCGGGCTGTGACCTCAGACCTCATTCACTACTGGGGTTACCTTCCTGGCCCTGAATGAGCAGGGCCTGGTGTCCCAAGACCTATAGATGTCCCCCTGCACTCCGGCAGGCTGGCAGAGCCAGGAACCGAGGTGGAAACCAAGACTTCTGAACTATTTCACCATTCCTTACGGGTTCGCCTTTTCTTCCATTTGATGAGACATCAGACTCCCTAAACCAGTGTTTCCCCAAGAGCCAGGTTCCCGAATTTTAGCAGCAAGAAAGTTACTCTCAGCCACACATGGGGGCTCCCACCTGTGATCCCCACACTTTGGGAGGCCGAGGTAGACAGATCACCTGAGGTCAGGAGTTTGAGACCGGCCTGGGCAACATGTTGAAACCCCATCTCTGCTAAAAATACAAAAATTAGCCGGGCATGGTGGCATGTGCCTGTAATCCCAGCTACTTGGGAGGCCAAGGCAGGAGAATCACTTGAACCTGGGAGGCAGAGGTTGCAGTGAGCTGAGATAGCTCCACTACACTCCCTTCTAAGCAAGAGAGGGAGGCTGTCTCAAAAAAACGAAGAACGAAACGAACCAAACCCCAGAAAGCCGAGAATCGCCAGATGGAAGGGGATGGCCCCCGGTCTCTGCAGACCAGGCGTCCCCAAACTTTTTACACAGGGGGCCAGTTCACTGTCCCTCAGACCGTTGGAGGGCCGCCACATACTGTGCTCCTCTCACTGACCACCAATGAAAAGAGGTGCCCCTTCCCGAAGTGCGGCGGGGGTGGATAAGTGGCCTCAGGGGGCTGCATGCGGCCCGCGGGCCATACTTTGGGGACGCCTGCTGTAGACCCTGTGACAAATGACCACAAACTTGGTGCCTTAAAGCAACATTCATTTTGTTTTTTTCATTTTTTTTTTTTTTTTTGAGACAGAGTCTCACTTTGTCGCCCAGGCTGGAGTGCAGTAGCACGATCTCTGCTCACGGCAACCTCTGCCTCCCGGGTTCAAGCGATTCTCTCGCCCCAGCCTCCACAGTAACTGGGACTACAGCAGGTGTGTGCCACCACGCCCAGCTAATGTTCTGTATTTTTAGTAGAGATGGGGTTTCACTCTGTTAGCCAGGACGGTCTCTATCTTCCGACCTTGAGATGTGCCTCCCAAAGCGCTGGGATTACAGGCCTGAGCCACCGCGCAGGGCCAAAGCAACACCCACTTTCTTACATTTCTGGAAACGGGAAGTCCTAAATCAGGAAAGGCTGGGCTGAAATCAAGGCGTGTGCAGACCCTGCTCCCTCCAGAGGCCCCGAAGGCTCCTTCCTGCCTCTCCCAGCTTCTGAAGGCTCCAGGCGCGATCTCAGCTCACTGCAACCTCCACCTCCTGGGTTCAAGCCATTCTCCCGCCCCAGCCTCCCGGGCAGCTGGGATTACAGGCATGAAAAGGAGCGAGGCCGCCACAGCGTGGATGCACCTTGATGACGTCACGCCCAGTGAGATAAGCCAGACACAGAAGTCCACTCAGCCTGTGACCCCCTTTATGTGAAATGTCCAAGACAGGCTCATCCATAGAGGCAGGAAGGGGATGTGTGGCTGCCGGGGGCAGGCGGAGGGGATGGGGAGTGACGGCTGATGGGGAAGGGGTTTCTTGGGGTGATGGAATTTTCTGGAACTAGATGGCAGTGGTAGTTGCACAGCTCTGTGAGGTACTAAAACCACTGAGCCACAGGGTACAAGTGGGTGAATTTTGTGGTATATGAATGACGTTTTTGAGGAGTCATTAAAGAAACAGACGCCTGGGGTGGGGCCGGCCTCCCTTCAACACAGGGCCCCAGATCACCCTTCTGGGCGGGCACAGACACTCTGGGAAGGAAGACTTGGGCTCCTGCTGGCGAGAAGGTGGAGGACCTGGAATCTGGGCTTGTGTCCTGTTTCTTCAGTGCCTGCTGCTGTGCCCACTGTCCAGCGTGCTCCGTAGAGGGTCTCATTTTATTCCTCCAGAAGGCTCTTTACCGGCCCATTTTATGGAGGTGGAACCAAAGCTTGGGGAGGTGGAGTGAGGCTTGCAGGGTCTCTGGGGTGCCGGCCGCAGGGCTCTAGTGGGGGAAGCCAGGCCATGTTGGACCTCAGACACGGGGACCCCAACCTCACCTCAGTAGCAGGGCCCTGAGACTGTGGCACCTGCCACACCCTCTGCGTGACCCGCCTAGGCCAGGAAGAGAGGGTCGGGAGATCCCTGAGCCACGAGGAAGGCATCCCGGCGTCCAGCTGGACCGGTTGTCCCTGACGAGTGTTCCCCGGCAGGACAGGCTGGTCACCATGTCTTCACCCTGGTGCTATTTAAAGGCGCGTGCCATCTGGGGCTGTGGCCGCAGGACCAGGACTGGGCTGCTGGGAGCCAAGGGAGGGGAATGGAATCTGGGGTTGTGACCTGTGTCCCCACATTGGAGGTCGCTGTCCCTCTCAGGCCTCGGTTTCCCCACTTGTCAATGCCTCCTCTTGGCTGTGAGTCTGAGTGGCACTGGGCTCACCTTTTAGGGCCAGGGCATGGAGGCAGGCAGGCGAGGGGTGGGGGCCAACCACCTTGCTGGGTGGTTCCCCGTGGGTCCCGGGGTGTGGCTGTGAATAGGGCCGCCGCATTCCTGCCGCCTCCGACGTGCCCTGCCAGCCGGCTACCTACAGGTCCACCTACCTGCCCAAACACAGGTTCCCAGCCATCGCCTGCCCATGTACCCGCATCCCCAACTCTGGTGAGCCTGGCTTTCAGGAAAGTACCATCTTGGGGGAGAGAGGTCCCGCCACGACAGGCCCAGGAGCCCGGCTGGCAGGGGCTGCCCGGGGCAGGACCTTCGCGTCCCTGTGTCCCCGGCACCGCCACCTGCCTGTCTCTCGTCCGTGTTCCTCCTCGCCATCTTCCCCGTGGTCCTGTTTTCCGTCTCTTGTCTCTGTCTCCCTCGGGGTCTCCGCGGCCTGCGATCACGCTCCTCCCCCCGCAGCCCGAGGTCCCAGCCCGCCCGGGGACTCGGCTGACTCACCGACACGCCCCGCGAGACAAACACACGCGCGGAAGCCGAGGTCCCGCAGGCCGCGCCCCCTCCCGCCCCCGAGGCGCCCCATTGGCGAGTCCCTCTGCCGGCCCCGCCCCCGGCGCGCCCCACTGGTCGGCTCCTCCGCCGGCCCCGCCCCCGAGGCGTCCCATTGGCCCCGCGGAGCGAAGGTAGCACCGCGGTCCCCGGGAGCGCAGAGCCCGCTGCGGGCCGGGCTCCGGGCCATGCGCCGCCGCCTGTGGCTAGGCCTGGCCTGGCTGCTGCTGGCGCGGGCACCGGGCGCCACGAGAACGCCGAGCGCGCCGCGGAGACCGCGCAGCTACCCGCACCTGGAGGGCGACGTGCGCTGGCGACGCCTCTTCTCCTCCACTCACTTCTTTTTGCGCGTGGACCCGGGCGGCCGCGTGCACGGCACCCGCTGGCGCCACGGCCGGGACAGTGAGTGCAGGGCGGCGGGGGCGGCGGGGGGCGGCCGGCGGCGTAACGGGGACCTGCACCCTAGAGGGAGGCCCGGAGGCTCCTCTGCGCAGCGCCAGCCTCTGTTTCCCCCGACTGTGCGGTGGACGCAGATCGCCTCGTGGGAGGGCTGGACTGTTACGGCGAAGGCTGCAGTGGGGGGCCCAGCTCAGGGGTGGAGCGGGTCCGTGTGGAACAGTCCTGCGGGCGGGGCCGCTCCATCTGCATGTGGGAAACTGAGGCTCCAGAGGAGCCGGGGCAGGCCCGGCTGCATGGGGGCAGAGGTCAGGTTGACCTCCGGACCCCTGACATCACAATATAGTCAGGCGGCCTGCGTGGGGGCCCCTCTGCTTCTTCCCAGACACCCCACGTGGCCACAGAGGGGATGGGACCTCCCCAGGGTCACACTGACGGGTGGCGAAGCGGGGTCCCCGTCCCCAGGGCCTGCCCAGCACACAGCAGGCACTCACTGTTAGTGGGCTGGCAGGAGAGGAGAGCCAGGTACAGCAGGGGATGTGGACATAACCCGGAGACCAGGGAATTCGGTGTCCCCGCTGCGCAGGGGCGCTGGGGAGGGGGCCGGGGCTGCTGGCGGCTGCCTGAATCATCCCCTGCCCTTCCCAGCGCTTTCATCTGGGCGCCAAGGCCCTCATTAGGCTGCACGCGACGAGGGCGGATGGGGGACTGGCTGGGCCGGTCCATCCGTGGTGGGCATGGCCAGGCGGGGTGGCCTCGGGCCAGGGCAGAGGCCTGGCTCCACTGCGTGGCCTGCCACAGTGATGGGGGCCAGGGCTAGCTGAGGGCTCTCCTGACCTGCATGCACTTGCTGGTCACCCATCGGGCACGTCCCAGGCACTGTGCGGGGCATGGGGGACCCAGCGGTGACAGATGGCCACTGTCCTGGGGCTCCCAGAGCACAGTTGGACATGTGAACAGGGTGCAGGTGGGTGCACAGGAAAGAGAACAGTGGTGCTGGGAGGCACCCTGCCGGGGAGGGGAGGCGTGGAGCAAGGAGTGGCCGGCGAGACGGTGACAGATGCCATGGAACAGTCTCAAAAACATTCCCATGTGCTCTGGAAGGCTGGGCCGGGAGACCGCCCTGAGGAGCTTGCCCTTTGACAGGGAGCTGGCCAGGCACACGAAGAACTGTGCCCCTGGCTGAGGGAGCGGCGGGCACCAGGGTGAGCGAGAGTGCGGGCCGGGCCCGGGGTCCTTGCTGGGTAACACGCTTCCGCTCAGGGTGGGGCAGGGCTTACCCAGGGCCACCCACAGATGGATCCAAATCTGGCTTTGCCACTCCTGGGCCTCAGTTTACCCCTCTGCGACATGGGCACAGCTGGCGCTTCCCACCTGGGGCTGCTGAGTGGGCTTGGTAAGGTGCAGGGGGCCTAGAACAGTTGGCATACAGTCAGCGCTCAAGCTTGCCTGTGGTGTTCCATAAATGCCCGGCCTCCAGTCCAGAGCTCCGAGTCCCCGTGACCATGTGGGCCGAGCTGCTGAGCTGTGAGCGCCAGGACTGGGGACTCCATGGGTGGCGCCTGTCGCTGGGTCCATTTACTGTTAGCAGTCCGGGCAGGCCCTGCCCCCTCTGACTCCCACCTCCCTCGGGTTCTGGCACCCCTGGTGTCCCTCTGGGTGTCTGGGACCCCCCCCCACACCTGCACAGATGCTGCTCTTGGGCTGACCTGGCTTGGTAGGCTCTCCCACGGGGTCCTCATCAATCCCTGCACTCCCTGCAGCTCGTGGGGGCTGTCCTACCTCCATTCCCTCCGACTGCTCCTGACTCCTCCCTCACGTGCTAGGGGTGCTCCTGGGGTCTGTCGTGGTCCCCGGGGGGATCCTGGTGTCCATCATGGTCCTGGGGGGGAGGCTCCCGCGTGTCTGTCGTAGAGAGAGAACTCAAGGTCCCAGGAGTGCTCCTGGGTGTCCATCGTAGTCCTGGTGGGAATCTTGGTGTCCCTCGTGGTCCCCAAAAGGATCCTGGGTATCTGTCATGGCCCGGGGGGGGTGCTCTCGGTGTCCGTCGTGGTCTGGAGGCTGGGGGGACTCCCAGGTGTCCGTCACGATCTCGGGGTAGGGGGCTCCCGGGTGTCTGTTGTAGTCGGGAGAGGACTCGTTGTCCCAGAGGTGGTCCTGGGTGTCCGTCATGATCTCAAGGGTGCTCCTGGGTGTCCGTCGTGGTCTGAGGGTGGGGGGGCTTCTGCTCCCTGTCGTGGTCCTGGGGACCCTGCACGCAGCATGGCGGACACCCAGCAGCGCTCAGGGTAAGCTCGTGCCAGTGAGCAGGTGTGAGCCAGCAAAGCCCTGCCTGCCCCCCGCCTCCCCCAGGCATCCTGGAGATCCGCTCTGTTCGCGTGGGTGTCGTGGCCATCAAAGCAGTGTCCTCAGGCTTCTACGTGGCCATGAACCACCGGGGCCGCCTCTACGGGTCGGTGAGTGCCGGGCAGGGGTGGGTGGCGCGGGCGGGCGGGGAGGGTCGGCCGGCCTCACACCCCCATCAGAGGCTCTATACCGCCGACTGCAGGTTCCGGGAGCGCATCGAGGAGAACGGCCATAACACCTACGCCTCTCAGCGCTGGCGCCACCACGGCCAGCCCATGTTCCTGGCACTGGACAGGAGGGGGGGGCCCCGGCCGGGCGGCCGGACACGGCGACACCACCTGTCCACCCACTTCCTGCCTGTCCTGGTCTCTTGAGGCCCCGAGAGGCTCCCAAAGGTGCCTGGGCCGGCGGCGAGGGGCCCCAGCCATGCCTGTTCTTCCCCTTGCTGGCTCCGTGAGCACTGAGTGCCCACTATGTGCAGGCAGTGGGGACACAGCACAGGAGCCCCTGGGGGAGCCCCAGCCTGAGGGGCGGGCGGCCACCAGTCAGGTCCAGTCCTGAGATGGGACCTCCAGGAGCAAACAGCGCCTCCTGGGCTGAAATGCGGACGCTCAAAGGTGGGGGGCGTCCCAGGCAGGGCCCCGCAGAGGCCAGCGCTCAGGGAAGGCAGGAGAGAGAAGGGGAAGGGCGAGGAAGGGGCCGGGGAGACGGTGACACAGACCTTGAAGCCGGTCCTATCCCGGGAATCTGCAGACGCGGCGCCTGACGAGGACACAAGGACCTGCGGGTGGGACGGAGACGGGAGGGCACTGGGGGGGGGGGGGTCCGGGGCCCAGTGTCCTCATGGGGTTCCCATGCAGGAGGCGGGAAGATGAGAGCCAGAGACAGGTGGGAACGGGCTGGGCTGTGCTGTGGCCATGACAGGCAGGAGGGACGGAGACGGGCAGGCACTGGGGAGGGGGTTCCGGGGCCCAGTGTCCTCATGGGGTCCCCATGCAGGAGGCGGGAAGGTGAGAGCCAGACAGAGGTGGGAACGGGCTGTGCTGTGGCCAGGACAGGCAGGAGGGCCCCCAGCCGAGGGATGTGGGTGCCTCCAGACGCTGGGAAAGGCGGGAAACGGTCTCCTGGAGCCCCCCGCAGGAGGGACAGGCCCTGCCCTGCCTTGATATTAGCCCAGTGGGACCCATCTTGGACTCTGCCCACCAGAACTGCCAGAAAGTAAATGTTCAGCTTTAAGCCGTCAAGTGCGTGGTCCTTCATTACAACGTCAGAAATTCGCAGTGTCTGTAACGGTTTCAGTGATGAAATAAGCCTCAGTATTCCTCAGACCCCCGGGAATGGCAGAGGCCGAGGGAAGGAGCGGTCCTGATGCAGGGAAGGCCTGGGGGCTGTGTGCCACCATCCTGCAGGGTGCAGGAAGGGTCGGCCATGGGGTGGGGGCAGCCTCACCGGTGCCCAGCGCCCTCCTGATGTCCTGATTCTGCTGGGGCTTCTCCCTGCAGCCCTGGGAGTCACACTCCAGCCAGAGAAAAGGGCAGAGCCCTGAGCTCAGGTCCACCTGAGCTCCACAGCCTCGGGCCAGGCAGTGACCCCCCGGGCTCATCTCCGGGTCTGCACATGAGGTGACAGCACCATTGCCTGGGCGGGGGGCATTCCTCCTGGTGAAGGGGACAGTCCCGGGGATGGCCAGGGCTCCAGCCCCAGCCGCCTTCCAAACACATCTAGGACAACTGGGCCGAGGCACCTGCTGGGAGGCACTGCGGCCTGAAAGGAAACACCCTTCTGGGAAGCGAGGGCTGTGCCCACCCCCCGAGCGCCTCTGCTCACCATGCAGGGAAGAGGACCCCCTCCCCAGGGGACGCTTTTGCTGGCATGGAGTGGGTGGAGGCCGGGCCGTGCTCAGCACCTGCTGCACCCAGGACGGCCCCAGGGTGGCAGTGTGAGGGGAGCTCTGCCCCGCCGGCCAGCTCGGAGGGCATCGCTGTTTGAGTGCTCTTGCTCGGGGCTGCACACGGTCCACCGCTGAGGTAAAACCATTGCTGGCACCATGCAGGAACATTACATGTGCTGCAAAGAAAAGGGGCAGCAGTTCATTCTAAACCGAACATGAAGCGGGCATGCAGCCAGCACTTCTGGGCACCGACAGCCCAGGGCAGAGACACTCCTGTTCACACAGAAGCCAGAACGCAGATGCTCTCAGCAGCTGATTCACAGGCCAGAACCTGGGTGCCCCTGGCATCCTCAGGCAGTGGGGCGGGGGCCCCACGAGAGAGAGGAGCAGCCCGGGGGCACAGCACCAGCCACTCTCCAGGAAGTCGCCAACCCCAAACTGTTGCAAACTGTGCTTCCACTTACAAAACTCCTGAGCGACGGGGCCAACGGGGAGAGGCTGGCAGCGGCGCCAGGGGCCGGGGACACAGCGGTGCGGGCCTCACAGCGCCACCTCCGCCCGTGCAGCAGGCTCCCGGGCGGTGAGGGCACCAGGGTCAGCCTCTTGTTACCGCTGTCTCATCTGCGAGCAATGCGGCCTCACAGCCCCCACCAGGGTGCCGGCGTCCTCTGGGCCCAGCGCCCCGAGGCTCGTGCCTGGGTGGGGCGACCTGGCAGGGCCTGCTCCTCCGGCCGCGCCACAGGAGGGAAGTCCCAGCCTTCCCTCCAGCTCCAACTCCCGAGAAGTACCAGGGACGCTTAGAACCCAAGCCTCGTCTCCCCGGACGCCTCCCGACTCGAAGCGTCCGTCTTTCCAACAGGAAGCCGGCTTCGGCCTGCAGGAGCCCCTGCCGGCTGCCGCATGAATGGCACCTGAAACACATCTGTTCTCTCAGTGCAGGGGTCCCAAGTCCCGAAGTCGATCCAGTCGCCTCCCTATGTCGGCATCCTCGACGCAACCTCGTCGTCGGGCGCCGGGTGTGTCACCTTGCAAGGTGCCGGGCAGGCGGACTGGCCATCCTCAGGGCTGGCACTCTGCCCTGCCAGCCACAGTCGCTTAAGTTACAACGCTACTCTCAGGCTCCGGAGGGCTCACTATGGCGCTGCTGCAGCAGCAGAAGCCCAGAAGCCGCCAGGGCGCGGTTCAGACAGGAGGGATCTGAGTTGCCCAGCCGAGGGGACTGACGCAGACATGACGTGGGACACGCGGCGAAGAGCATGGCGCGGGGCGGAGGGCAGAAGGCTCCGGAGTACAGGCGGACGCGGGGCCCCATGCCTCCCACTCGCAGGAGCAGTCCACAGCGGAGTCTCCAAATGTTTGTTATCCATCTACATTGCCTGATGCCTGGGTCCCAGGACTGTGGGATCTTCAGCAACTGAGATGAACCCACCACCCCGGCTCCCTGAGCCCGCACACCCTCACACCCCACCAGCTGTGCCCGTGCCTGCTGCGCCCCAGGCCAGGCATCCCACTGCCCTGAGCAGTGAGGCCCGGCTCTTCAGAAGGGCCCGGGTCCCGAGTGCTGGAGGGGCGACCACGGGTGAGGTGGAGGTGCTGGGCCCTGACACTTTAACGCTCACAGCCCAGCAACCCTGCCACCCTGCGGAACGTCGCCAGGTGGGCCCTCCTGGGCCTAAGCTGGGAGCTCGCTAGTGAGCCCTGGGCCCTGAGCCCCAGGCCCCGCAGGAGGCACACATGCCTGGGGGCAGATGCGGCCGTGCAGAGCCCAGCCAGCCTCACAGCTCTGTGGCCCCTTCCTGACATGCGGGCGCAGAAGGAAAGCCAGGCCACGCCACCTGCTTCTCTTTGTAAGTGGTGTATTTTAAATAGCTTTCAAGATACACATATTTTTTTCCTTTAAAAAAAGTCTGCTGGAGCAGTTTTGTTCTTGAATTTTGCTGGTCATCCTCATGGTCCCGAGCCCCCAAACTCTGGGTGGTGGAGGCAGCCGAGGTGGAGGCTGGGGGCCCACATGGCCTGTCCTGGCGGTGCTCACAGCGCTGGGGAGCAGCTGGGCCGCGTCTTGCCACAGATCATGCATGGCCGCCATGTGAGCTAAAACGTCCATTTATTTCAAAGCAGTAATAATTTAAAATTATAAAAATCTTTCTGCCGCTGAACGTTTAGAGGGTGAGGTTAGACAGAGGACGGGGAGGCTGGGGTGCCCCAGAGGGGACCGTGTGGCCCACGCCTTCCCAAGCCAGGGGGCCGGTGGGCCGGGCCCGGGTCTTGCCCTGGAACAGGCCGGGCCCGCAGTGCTGACCAGCCAAGAGCGGCACCGCTGGGGCACCCGGTCTGCGGGTGCCACGTGGCGCCAGCTGAGGGTGGGGGGAGAGGCCCCGCACTTTCCCCACAGCCTCGGGCGCCGCGGGCAGGGGTGGGTGCCGGCTGATGCGGGCTCAGGAGTTACTTGTGGCGTTCTCATTGCCGGGCGAGCTGGAGGAGGAGGAGGACGATGACGAGGAGAAGCTCACCCCAGTCAGGCCCGGGGGGTTCGTGGCCGTGTTCTGTCCCGTGAGGCTCTTTCGGCAGACGGGGCAGCTGTCGTGCTTTGTGGGGACAGAGGCGGGTTAGAGCGGGCGGGCAGGCAGCGGCGGCGCGGGCAGGTGGGCGGGCACTCACCTGCTCCAGCCAGGGCACGATGCAGCCGTCGTGGAACAGGTGGTTGCAGGGCAGCTGCCGCACGCGCTCGCCCAGCGAATAGTCGTCCTTGCACACGGGGCACTCGAGCCCGGAGCCTGCGGGGAGGGGTGCAGTCACGGTGGTGTGGGAGCCTGCCATGCCTTCCGGGGCGGGCTTCTCCACAGCCTCGGCCAGAGGCCACGCCCAAGCTCAGCCAGGGGAAGAAAAACTGCGTATGCCCCCTGGGCCGCTGGTGGGGCCCGGACGGAACCCTCTCCTCAAAGCCGACCTTCAGAAAAACGCCCGAGGCCAGGCAAGGTAGCTCACGCCTGTGATCCGGCACTTCTGAAAAGCCGAGGCGGTGGATCACCTGAGCTCAGGAGTCTGAGACCCGGCTGGCCAACATGGTGAAACCCCATCTCTACTAAAATCCTAAGTATTAGGCGGGCACGGCGGCAGGTGCCTGTAGTCCCAGCTACTTGGGAGGCTGAGGCTGCAGAATTGCTGGAACCCGGGAGGCGGAGGTTGCTGTGAGTTGAGATCGCGCCATGGCACCCCAGCCTGGGAGACAAAGCGAGACTCCGTCTCAAAGAACACACACACCCCGAAGCAGAGGCGGTGCGGCTGGGCGCATACCTACGTGCTCCTCGGTGACAGGGACGGTGGGGAGGGCCTGGATTTTCTCTTTATCTGCCGGTGGGGGGCCCGTGTTTTCAAACTGATTGAGGAGCTGAAAGACAAGAGGCGAGAGTGCGGGAGCTCCTCAGGGGCCCGGCCCGGGGCTCTGAAACTCGAGGCTGCAGCACCTGCAAAAGCACCGAGGCTGCGTTTGTCCTGGGCTCGGGGCCCCTGGAGCCCGCCCCATGGCACCCACGTGGCACCGCCCTGTTCCCGGGTCCCTGCTGGCAGAGTGGGGTGGGCTGCTGAGGGGCAGGTCCTGCCAGTGATCCCTCAGCGAGGCTGGGACTGGCGGCGCTTGGAACCAGGTCAGGGTGCGACCTCTCAGGGGAGGGGCTGAGGGACCGTGTGGCCGCGTGAGTCCTCTGCGCGGTTTTGCTATAGCGTTCCTCCGCGTGAACTCGGAAGGAGAAGCCCCAAGGTTGCCAAGACTCAGACACGGCAGGAGGAAGGCTGGAGTTGCCTCCACGCCCAATCCCCCTTGACCTTGTGGGGCTTCTTGGGTCTGGGCAGCCCAGCCCCGCACCCAGCAGGCACTCCGGGCGGTGGCCACGCTGTACCTGTGTGATGATGGCGTCCAGGCCGTTGGCTCCCCAGGCATAGTCCATAGGGTTTGAGTGCAGAACTCCCCTGCGGGTGGAAGGCAGGGTTCGAGTGGCTGATGGGCGGCTAGGGCAGGCGCCTCCTCCACCCCACTCAACTAGGGGTACCGGCTGAGGGTGGGGACAGGAGTCCCCACCTACTCACCAAGGACCCAGGCTGGGGATGGTGGCGGGCGTGATGATGCCGTTAACGAGCTGCTGGATGATCCTGGAAGAGAGGGGCCAGTCATGAGGCGAGGCTGCCCCACGTACAGGAGAGGGCCAGGCCTGCCAGGTATGTGGTGGGCACCAAGGGCAGAGCCAGCATTGGCTTCTAAATCAGCTTCTATTTACTTCTTTTCTTTTCTTTTTTTTGAGACAGAGTTTCGCTCTTGTCACCCAGGCTGCAGTGCAATGGTGCGATC